AGGCCTGACCCTGGGAATTCCTCGGAGCCACCTGCAGAGAGGCCCCCGCGGGCTAGAAGTGGACCTGGACCCGGGCAGGGCCTCCTCCAGCTTCTGGGAGGTCTGGGCTGGCGCCCTTGCCAGGAGACTCTGTTGTGGGTCCTTGTGCCCACCTGCCCTGGTTGTGAACTGACCTGGCGCTCGCGAGTTACTGTTTCCACCCTCACCCCTGAGTCGGGAAGGGCCCTGCGCCCCCAGAAGCCTGCCTCTGTGTTTGAGTTCTTGCCACTTTGTGTCCATTCTCTCATCAGCACTGCCAGGGAAACTGAGACCCAGACAAAGTGGGATTTGCCCATCCTGATGCCAGCCTATGATTCTGGGCCCAGGCAGGGCTCTCACCCCCAGGGAGACCAGGGGCCCTGGTTCCAGGAGCAATTTGCAGGGGTTGGGGATGTGGGCAGCCTAGGCCCTGTGTGATGTCTTCATGTCCACTTACGAGATCTTTGAACTACCTGTCACCTTAGGACTGTAGGTACGATTGCAGAAACATCTTGTTTGCTTATCCTTTTTGTGTCGCGACCCGTCTGGCCCTGGCCCAGGTGTCAGTGTGGCAGCCCCTGGGCTCCAGGTGTGGCCCCACCCCCACCCCCACACACCTGGTCTCTGGCCTGAGCTGTCCCACCTGACCCTGTGAGACGCCCCCGCTGAGTTACAAGTTGCAGTGGCCATGTGGGCTCGCCCAGCTCCTGCCAAGGAGAATGGGGCCTTCACGGCAGCTTAATGGGGCCCAGACCTTCACAGGATCCCTGGGCCTGCCCTGAGGGTGCTGTGGCACAGACCCCCTCCACCCCTTCCAGGGTCTCAGGGACATGGCCTTGGACAGAGTCCCTCCTCCCCCGACCCCCACCGCTGTCCAGTCCTCTGGAGGGAGACCACTGTCTGGCCGTCCTTGGGGGGAGTGGTCGAGAGCGTAGGGTTGAGGAGTCTGCCACAGGGAGCCGGAAGGTGGGGGGCCTCCTGTGCCCTTGCCTGTTCCTCAGACAGGGTTTTGTATGAGAAAGAGGTGTTTAAGGACCTCAGGGGCCTCAGGACTCTCCTAGAAGCTTTTCTAAAGAGGCCAGGCTCAGCCTGTTCAGGAAAGGAGACTGTGCTGTGCTGTGACCAAGTTCTCATGCTGTAGATTCTCACAACCACCACGGGCCAGGTCTGCCAGCAGTTTGTAGTGTTGCAGTAGTGCACACGGAGTCCCTGATGGAAAAAGTCTGTATATAACCTGCTGTTCATGGCTTTGTGTTGAGAAAAACCAGGAAGAGTCCCCGTAGCATCTCTTCACCGACACAAAGCCCATCGAGATCTGCGTTCCGTAAATCACACACACAGGATGGCGCTTGCTTTCCCTACACAGTGCGACTGCTTTGACCAACCCTGTGAGCACGAAATTCACCCATTATCTGCCCGTTAGTGAGCCCAACAGACTGCTCCCAGCCCAGCCTCACTGCTCAGCCACAGCCATCGATCACATCCCCAGGAAGGCACACACTCTGTCCACTCCCCGCGGAGAGTTCGTCTAGAGCAGGATGGGTCCTGGCGCACTGGGGCCCCAGGGGCCACAGCCCAGCTGGTCCGGCATCTCTAGCTGCCTTAACAACTCACCTGGACCGCTGGACCCGGATCCGATTCCCAGCTGCGGAGCCAGAGGCTGAGTCAGGGAAAGCGACTCAGGGGCACCCCACTCAATACCAGAGACAGTAAACCGCCTGGTGATGCATCTGTTTGACAAATGTCTCATGGCTCAGCTGTTGGCTGGTGTTTTCTGTGGTGGGCGGCAGTTTGTTGAACTGCACAGGGCCAACCACATCCATAAGGGAACCGAAGTTCCAGGTCGGAAACCTCCCTGGCAGAATCTCACGCGGCAGCGCTCGAGAGAGGTCTGCTGTCTCCTCTGTGGACACGGTGTTATAAACCCTCGTGCTGTGGATACATTTCATAAATGAGAATCCTAGCTGTCCTTGTCATTGTAAAACAGAATGTAAACAAAGTCTTATGAATGTATTTCCTTAGGAAAACTGTTGTAAAATTTTTTATTAGAAAAGAATTCCTATTTATTTAATACTGAACCTTGGCCTACTTTATGGTAGACGAAGGAACATGACTGTAGGAGTCGCTATTTCTCACTTCTGTATTTTCTTGAAAATAATTTGGTTACAGTGCTTCTATACCGTGTACTAGTGGTCTTCTATTGTGAAAGGAGATTTAAAGAATTTCTTTGAAGCTGGAAATGTATGTTAATTAGGAGTGGTGAAAATTGTGTATGTTAATTTTGTGAATGTAAATTAAGTCGAATTTTGTGTAACCCTGATCACAGAACGATGTGCCTTACAGCGAGCGCTGCCCCGGACGTGTTGGGCAGGGGCCCCATCACAGACCCTGTCAAGCCTGCATGATCAAGTCTATTAAAAATGTTTCAAGGCACTTTGGGCACAAACTTTGTTTATAAATGAGAAATCATATCGAGGAGAATTTAAGGAGCAGTTTCTGCAGGCAAACACTGCTCTGGCACTAAAATGAACGTCGACACAGTTGCGTGCGGGCGCGTGCCCGTGGGTCAGAGGCAGCCCCTCTGGCTGGTGCAAGGAGGTTGTTGGACAACGCGAATTCTGGCCCACCCAGGCCTCTGAGAACTGGTTCTTCCCAGAGACACGGAGACACCACCGCTCACTTGCTTACTCAAACTCGTCACTGCACACGGGGCAGGTGCCCAGAAAGGGCAGAACAGTACCCACCCAGCCAGAGTCGGGGGAGGAAGCACCTGAGACATTAAAGAAGAGGGGTGGCCCAGGGCTGAAAAGAGGTGAGCAGGGACAGCAGGGTCCAGAGCCTGGAGGCAAGGAGGGTCTCTGAAGGGTCATCATGAGGCTGATGGCGGTGGCAGAAGTGCAGAGAGACCCATGAGATGGAGCTGTGCACCTGTCCCTGAATGTCCTGGGGAATCCTGTCCCCGCCCCCCAGGTGGATCTCACCCTCTCAGGTGGCTCCTGCCTCGCCCTCCACCAGGTGGAGCCCCTCCCCGGTGGATCTCATCCCCCCAGGTGGATCTCACCCCCCCAGG